TCGAACATGTTGGTATCAGTTCGGGACCAGATCGCAGAGATCCAGAGCAACGACCATTGCCGACATGGCCAGAGGTACCTGAACCAATGCAACGGCTGGGTGAAGCCATGGGCAGTTCGGGCTACGAGTGGTCACTCTGCGCATTCAGATCCCCAGAACAACTTGCTTCAGTTGGACAAGAACAGGTTTGCAATATCTCCATCTATGACCCTCTTGCAACGTCTTGGAGGTGCATTCCACGCTACGGCATGCCGCAACTTGGATTCCATTGTCACGCAAGGCATCATGCCTGGTTCGGAGGACCCCGACGGGGACTTTGACCATCGGCGCCAATTCCGAGGCAACCAAGGCGGCAGACTCCACAGCTATTGGGGGGTGTTTGCGCCGTTCGATCACCGGAACGCAACGACCAAGATGCGAGTACACGGACGAGACGCCAAGCATATGCCATTGGCGGTTCTTCATGTCCCATCGCAAGATCTTGCACGAGAGGATGGACGTATCACAGACAGCGGCATCATGATCGTTGGTCGAACGATACCTTTCCATTTCGTCAAGGAGGTATGGTTTTGCGTCCCTGATCCTCGAGATACACACTCTTTCGCTCTGGTGGAAAAGATCTACGATGAAAGGTTGGAGAAAGAGCTGGTGTTGGACTACAATGCATCACCGTTGCTTCCCGAGTTCGAGAGATACCGAACGCCAAGCAAGATCATGGAATTGCTTTGCGAGATGCCTCCTGGACCCCACGACACAAGCAAGGAGCAGATCATTCGTGACCTCACAACTGTCTTGGAGTCCCACAGGGAGAACACGGTTCGGCATCACTACATGGACAAAGGAATCAAGTTTGTCATCAAGAATTGGCGACCCGAAGACCTACGCAGAGACGAGGATGGACGGAGAATGAGGGTATGCCCGGCATGCTACAACATCGTTCCAGCATGTTTCTCCCGATGCACGTCTTGCTGGTCACAGTTCATTTCAAGCGGATATTATCAAGGTTCTCCACAACGGGATACTCCTACGGAGATCCCCAGTGACTTCATTGCTCAGACAATGGAAGCCGCAGCAGCCGCAGTGCCTGAGGCGCCCGAAGAGGAGCAGGAAGCCATGGAGGTAGAGACCGTTGCGGAACCTGAAGAAATCCCAGAACCATCTGTCGTTGCGGAAGACGATCCAGAACAGGAACCTGATGAAGAAATGGACGTTGAGCCTGAAGAGGACTTCGATGACGCAGTTCCGGAAGCAATCGCACAGGAACGTCGTCCCGTCTTCCTTACCGGCCAGTCTTTGAACATCGATCCTGAACTACAACTTGCACGTACCGCCATGCAGCCATCCTACTATTCTGGAAAGCGAAATGCTCATTGCATCGATGCGAACATGACCGCTCTGTCGTACATGGCATACGTGGTATGCCGATCCATCTACAAAGCTTGGTCAGGATTCGCAAAGTGGGCGACTATGCCGTTGTTTCAGATGAGGGAAAGTTTCGCGCTTGGCCAACGCTATGATGTGCTTGGAAAGTGGGGATCTTTGGCAGCAGTGGACAAGGAAACAGGTGTCAGCAGGGATGTGACTGATGAGGAGATCATTCGCTTCGCGAAAGAACCTGAGAACCTCAAACAGTATGATCCCAACGGGATTTACACCTTGAAGCGCTTCCGCACGAACCAGATGCTTTCTTTACTTGTACGGGGAGCCAACATGATGGGAATTGGCAGGGACAACTTCAGCCCTACTACTTACTTGAAGAGCGACAGGGATGAAGATGTCAAGGCAATGCACTTTTGTTGCCTGAACGTCCTATGCGAGGTGATCCCAATGGTGACGGGACACCAACAATTCTCGGTGCTACGACCAACGCCAACTGGACCAGTGGACTTCTTGTACATCGACCCTGTCGGCATTCTGCTAACTCATTCTGATCAGTCAGTCCAGACCATCGCCTTGCTAGTGGATCACAGCATCCAAATGCCTGCGCACTTCATGGACAGATTGAACAGATCCAAGAATGAGAGACAGCAAAACCCGACGACAAGGCGTACAGAGGCCCTACACCACATTTCGGCCGCTGATTATCTTCCTCCAGGTGGTACTTCCATTCTGGACACGCCGGTCACTACGGAGGAACGTGAAAGCGCTTCTTCATCCAAGGGACCTTCAAAAGGGCGTGGAAGAACCGGAGGCGAGCAACATGGTGGCTGGAACACCAATTCCTACCACGACTACATCGCCGCCAAAGGCCGAAACAAAGGCAAGGACAAGGGAAAGCCAAGGAACCCATATCCAGAGGAGAACCTCCGGCCCTGGGAACGCGAGCCTACGTCAACGCGAAGATGGTGGCGAGACAACGCCTGATCTTCCTCGCCTATCAGTTCGTGACCTCTGAGCTTCGCCCATGGAATGCCATCGCGAATGCTTCTTTCTTCGGTGACTCCTGATTCGTTTGCCATTTCAGGGGATCGTTACTGACGTAGATGAGTGTCACAACGTTTCTAATTGGGATGCAAAGCTCTGATTTTCAATGTCAACGTTGCGGCGGAATTTTCTTCTGTCCTATCGTGCCATCTTCCGGGTGAGCAGCGTCGGAGACGCAACTCATGGGGGGTGCGAACGGACTGCGACGCCTTGTCATGTTCTAAGGTGTCACTATAAGAGCTGTGAGCAAGACCGTGTAAAGTGCAAGAGAAGGGGGCACGCTACGCGTCCCTCGACTCTAGGGGGCATGCTACGCATCCCTCGTCTTTACCTTTCTATGTGACCGCCAACGCAACGTTTGGCTCAAGTCAATGCCCGTAGCTAAGTGCTATATGTGTCTTCTACCCTGAGCAATCAGAGCTGTCCCGTTGCACAGACGAACCGCCGCCGGCAGTGAGTGCAAAAGGAACGGCCGCCGGTTCTGCCTGCATAGGATCGCACGTGTGGGAGTACGAAAGAGAGACAGGGTCCAGTCTGTGGAGAGTGCTAGCCAGCCACACCTACATTCATTACAGCTCTGGTGGGGAGAGCAGCAACCAAGTCGAGATCAATCCCCCACGCATTGTTATTGTTATTATTATTATCAGTATTATGATTATTGTTATTATTATACAGATCTGATGTGGATTATTATTAATATTACTTTGCAGACAGCTGTCACTGTGGCTGTGTGGTTGTATTGACTGAGAACCTAAGGCCGTAAGTCAAACCCTTTGAATCAGAGTCTGTCAGCCTTGACCTGACCTGTGCAGCGGGCTGGCCGAGGGGGCCCTAGAGACCTGCCAGGTTCCACCTTGTGGCCGTTGGTGGGGGCAGTGATCCATCCGCCGGAGCTTGTTGATGCCACTGACGCCTGCGTGACTCGTGGCGGCCACCCTTGAAACCAACGCCCCAAAGCCCGGGGGTATGACAGCGGGGCGATGCGCTAATGCGCCCGCTGGGGGTGGCCTCAACGGAGGACGGTGCGCCCGGACCTCCCCGGGGGGATCCAAAGAGGGAGGCCTAAGTATTGAAGTCCGGATAGTAGGCCGAGAGGTTCGGAGCCTCGCTCTTAGTCTCGGCCTCAATCCCTAATAATATTGTCATTGAGCTGTCTGTTGTCGGCGTTAAGTATTGAAGTCCGGATAGTAGGCCGAGAGGTTCGGAGCCTCGCTCTTAGTCTCGGCCTCAATCCCTGCCTGTCACTGTCTTCATTTGCTGTTTGTTAGTCGGCGTTAAGTATTGAAGTCCGGAAGTAGGCCGAGAGGTTCGGAGCCTCGCTCTTAGTCTCGGCCTCAATCCCTGCCTGTTTTATTGCTGTTAGTTAGTCGGCGTTTAGTATTAAATTAGTCGTCCGGATGGTAGGCCGAGAGGTTCGGAGCCTCGCTCTTAGTCTCGGCCTCAATCCCTAATAATATTGTCATTGAGCTGTCTGTTAGTCGGCGTTAAGTATTGAAGTCCGGATAGTAGGCCGAGAGGTTCGGAGCCTCGCTCTTAGTCTCGGCCTCAATCCCTGCCTGTCACTGTCTTCATTTGCTGTTTGTTAGTCGGCGTTAAGTATTGAAGTCCGGAAGTAGGCCGAGAGGTTCGGAGCCTCGCTCTTAGTCTCGGCCTCAATCCCTGCCTGTTTTATTGCTGTTAGTTAGTCGGCGTTTAGTATTAAATTAGTCGTCCGGATGGTAGGCCGAGAGGTTCGGAGCCTCGCTCTTAGTCTCGGCCTCAATCTCTGCCTGTCACTGTCTTCATTTACTTTGCTGTTAGTTAGTCGGCGTTTAAATTAGTCGTCCGGATTGTCGTTCTTGTGACAAGCTTTGTTCAGCGGCCTGACCGACGGGAACCTTGCCGTACCCGCGCGGATTCGACAGCCCATCGGTCCGTGCACACCGCTGGCCGGGTGTGCGGCTTCGAGTGCATCAAGGCATCTGGACCGTCTTGAGGCCAACGTGCCAGGGCTGTGGCATATGACACCCGGGCGCATGGGCTAAAGTGCCGGGTGGGGTGGTCCAGTGTTGTGGCTTGCTTTCAGCTCCCAACCAGGAGGGGAGGCTGTCATGTTAGGGAGATTTTTTGCCTTACCTTTGGAGTCGACCCCTGCCCATCAGGGTTGCTCCCCACACCATTGGCCAGGTGTGAGGCGTTCGGTTTGCCTGTGTCACAGCCTTGGGGCCAACCTATTCCCAGGGCAGGGGGTAGATGACAGCCGGGCACATGGGCTAATGCGCCGGCTGGGGCTGTGACCTGGTGACATCGAAGCACTATGCAAGTCACCGGAAGCAAATACCGGACAAAGAAGGGAGGCCGTTCTTGGGACATGGCTGTGTTGTTAGGCCGGTTGGGTTTAGTATTATTAGTTATTGCTTGCATGTCAACTTCATTGCATTTCGCTTGCCATTGCTTGTGCTTGCTTTTGAACAGAGTAAAACCCAAAGCCTGCAACCTTCAAGCCGAGCAGTGCTGCAAATCTTCCATTGTTTTGTTCTCTGTCGTTGTGATGCATTGCTGCAGCAGGGCATTGCTCAAGCTGTTTTTGCAAAGCCATGATTCTGAACTGTCGTGATGTTGCTGCTGGCCTGGAGACCTCCCTGAAGCTTCATCATCCACAGGAAAATATTTTGATTTTAGGTTTCGAGTTGTTCAACCTCGGATTGGTCCTGGACTGCTTTCTGGAGTCGAACGCCGATTCTGATTGGCTGAGAGCTATGGCCAGTACATGTGTCCTCACAAAGTACTTCATCATGGGCTTGAAAGTTGACCAACGTCCGGAAGGTGGCCCTTTTCCTCGAACTCCTCTGGACCGGCTTGCTCCTCCAGTGCTGCGCGGGGCCGACCTTGAACGAGAGGCCGCCGGAAGGCCTTTGGGTTCGCTCCTCTTTCAAGCCGAGGAGTTCCTCGAGCATCACGCGGATGTCTTCCTCCACCAGAGTGCCTGGTTCAAAGTCGCCTTTGAGATTCATGAAACTTTGAAGGATCTCGAATGGGTCCCTTCACCAAGCCAGGAGTCGGAGGGCTAGTGAGTTATGGAAACTAGGCCGGGAGGTTCGGAGCCTCGCTCTTGTCTCGGCCGAAATCCTTCTTCTGGAAAGTAGGCCGAGAGGTTCGGAGCCTCGCTCTTGTCTCGGCCGAAATCCAAGTAGACAAGACAACCACAACCCCAGCGCTCACGGGCTTTCAAAAGGTGCGGCATGCAGAAAGCAGTAGTTATTAGCATCAAGTCTTAGTCTTAGTCTTACTCTTAGTCTTATTCTTAGTTTTAGTCTTAGTCTTAGTCTTAGTCGTAGTCTTAGTCTTAGTGTTAGTCTTAGTCTTAGTCTAAGTCTTAGTCTTACTCTTAGCATTAGGATTAGTATTAGTATTAGTGTTTTAGTATTAGTATTAGTATTAGTATTAGTATTAGTATTAGTATTAGTATTAGTATTAGTATTAGTATTAGTATTTTAGTATTAGTATTTGGGTATTAGTATTTTAGTATTAGTAATCAGTATTAGTATTAGTCTTAGTCGTAGTCTTAGTCTTAGTCTTAGTGTTAGTCTTAGTCTTACTCTTAGCATTAGGATTAGTATTAGTTTTAGTATTAGTATTAGTATTAGTATTAGTATTAGTATTAGTATTAGTATTAGTATTAGTATTAGTATTAGTATTAGTATTAGTATTAGTATTAGTATTAGTATTAGTATTAGTATTAGTATTAGTATTAGTATTCGTATTCGTATTCGTATTCGTATTAGTATTAGTATTAGTAGTAGTATTAGTATTAGGATTAGTATTAGTATCAGTAATAATTCATAGCAGTTGCAGGAATTTAGCTAGTAGTCATCATTTCGTTGACGACGTCAAGGTAGCAAGCATAGTAGTTTGTAGTAGGCGGATGGGTTAATATATAATTAAATGCACTACGACACATGAGCCTGCGGCCAGGTCTCTTTCCCTTGACGCCGGCTGAGAGGCAACGATAATTCGTCTGCTGATGCAGCTTATTATGAGACGCGGGAAACATTTCAGGATTCTCACGCTGGTCGAGCATAAATATAAAAGCGCAGTGCTGTGCTGCTGCAGCTCGACCTGTCACTGAGTGTGCGTTGCGGTGCTGTATTCCTTCTAAGTCTTCTGTCTCAGCAGGACCATTGATGATAGTACTATTACAGTAAATCTCGGTTTTATTTTGCAATGCTTCACGATCGCGGCCGGGCTTATCATTGTTTGTCTCTGCGTGAGTGTAGACTGACAGTCAGTCTGTCATCGAGTGCGCAGCAAGCATGCCTGGCACGAAGAGAGCGCCTACGGGTCGACCTTCCTTGGGGGGGACCTCGAATGCAAGCAAAAGTGGGAAGAACCCCAAGCGAGCAAAGTCGGACGCCAGTGTGGGAAGTGAGCTGGTGAACGACATTTCACCAAATGTGGAACGATTGAGAACATGGTTGTTCCCTGGTTCAGGTTACAACATTCGACACTGCAGCTTTGAATCCGTGTCTCCTTCAATTGTCAATGTATTTCGGACAGTGTTTTCAACGTGAGGTCTGACAAGCTGAGCTCCCATCGCTCCGTCGACCGGCTCTTGAAGGCTGAGTTGGCAAACCAGGTGGGGTCACGGAGCAGCTTCAATTGAGTCTGCTGCATGTGGGAACCAACTAACTATTATTCTGATATAATTCTATTCGGAAAACGAGAAAACACATTGACATGTCACTCGCAGGAGATTGTTCTGGAATTCCTGCGGTTCGTCGAGGAGAAGCTTCCAGCTGAGGACGGTGTGAATCTTGGCCCCAACTTACTGTGTTCGATTGCAGCAACCTGAATTGAGTTGAAAATTGTTGTGCCATGATCTGGACAGCAGAGAAATGCTTGACAATACGCTGCCAAGGACATACTGCCAGACCCTGGATCGTGCAGGTCCCACATGTCTGAGGCCCTGGCAGCTGCCCTGGTCTCCGAATGCAGGCTTCAAGGGGTACGTGGAGCCCGTGCCCGGGACGTTTTGGAACATGTTTACGTACTCTAAGGTAGCAGTCGGGTATTGCAGGGGGCCTGGGAAAGCCTTACAATCATGCATTTGGCTGAGGACTCCCTCTATCAGCTCCTGGAACTCATGTACATCAACGGGCCAGCATTGATGCATTTAATTTGGGATTTGGTTTATGGATGTGCAGCCGGCGAGTGTTGAGACTGAGTGGAAGCCAAGGTTCCAAACAGACCCAAGACAGGGAGGAGTGGAGGCGTTGACCGTCGCGCCACAACAACAAGCCAGTGGTCTGAAGAATCAGTTCGTGATCACGTCGGATGAGATTTCAAGCTCGGCTGCGGGCCTCCTGGACCCTCAGAAAATCATTTGTGCAAAGGGATGGACGCGATCCGTCTGTGGCATTCTCATGCTCCTGCTTTGCTTCCAAGACAGCGAGTTCTACAAGGACGGGGGGGGATATTAGTAAAAGGGGCCCAGGGGGGGAGGGGGGGTTAAGAATAAAAGGAGGGCCCTGCGCGGTAACACATGAAACGTTGCCGTCATTTTCTGTTGTACGACGGATGCAGCATAATTATGCCTTCATTTAATTTGTTTGTTCAGTCATGTCTTGTCCTGCACGGAGAGGAGATGCCAGCGTTTGTCCGGAGGAGCTAAGTTCATTGCCGTTCATGTTGAGGGCTAGCAATAACAATAAGTGAATACATGCAGAGACGATGCAGGACGTTGGCCACTGTGCACTGCGTGGTGATGCCGGGGGACTTGGACCCCGGCAGCCTCATCCTGAAGAATCGCAGTGCCACGGCAACGAAATGTGACGGCAGACTTAAAGCACAATTTGATTCCAGCATTGGGATCTGAATCATGCACACCCATGACAGGCGTGACCATGGCTTCGGCGATCAGGAGGAAACCAAACTGCTTCAATCTGGTTCACCAGATCGTGCTGGTCAAGAATATGAAGTGCGAGGACGTTGGGTCGTTGGAGGACTGGTTTCATGCGTTTGCTGACTTACAGATACCATCTGAATCTGGGTCTTATTGTACCTTGTAACGCTTGGAGGCGTGGGAGAATGCGGCCAAAGAAGCGGAGGCGTACAGAATTGGAAATGTTGAAAGCAAAGCCGCCCTGCAGCTGTTGACCGCCGTGGATGGCCCAGTCTTCGAGAAGCTGAGCGACATGGTGAGGACAGCCCATACGTGTGGAAACTAGGCCGAGAGTTTCGGAGCCTCGCTCTTGTTTCGGCCGAAATCCAACGGTTTAGGACCTTAAAGTTCTGACGGAAACTAGGCCGAGAGGTTCGGAGCCTCGCTCTTGTCTCGGCCGAAATCCAACCGCCATGGACGTTAAAGTTCACACGGAAAGTAGGCCGAGAGGTTCGGAGCCTCGCTCTTGTCTCGGCCAAAATCCAAGGGCCTTGGACCTGTAAGTCCATGTTCGTCGAGGACCTACGGGATGAACAAGATACTCAATCACGAGCCCATCGCTGACGGGCTCTTCAACAGAGAGTACTGCGCGGCCAGCGGGCAGTTGAAGCCATGGGCTGAGATCTTGAGCAATACACCACAGTCACTCGAGCTGACGCTGCATCGAATGGAAGAAGACTACAAGAACCTGCACGTGAAGATGCGGAAACCCTTTGGCTCAAAGGACGTGGAAGCTCATCCTGTTCTGAGTAAGTTTCAGTGTCGCGATACATTAGGCTTGTCGTCTGGCCTTTAAAATATCGCAGCTTGCGTCGCTGAGGAAGCCTGCTTGAAACGTTGCGCCCTGTTCCTGGCGGCTCTGGTACGTGCTCACGAGTACTTTCCGAAGAGCTTGATGGATCGCGAAACAGGAAATCTCACGAGATCGTTTCAGTTGCTGCAAGAAGACTGCTAGGTCTGCTTTGCCACGGGCTTGGCAAGGCTCAGTGGGTGCTTTTTTTCTGGTCCTGCTTCACCCTGAGGTTCATGCTCAGACATTTGGATGCAGACCTGGAGAATTTGCTGGAGCAGTCGGTGCCGCCGGTGGACCTCAGCATGCTGGCCTGCTTCCGCGGCATGATGTTGAAGCTGAAGAAGGAGGCTTGCAAAGAGCGGCACGGTTCCCGTGGGAAATAATTAGTATTCTGATAATTTACATATTATATTATTTGTCTCGTGTTTAGTGTTATTGTCAGTTGTTGCAGCTTTGTCCGTCTCACTGAAGATCAGCTGGCAATAATTGCAGGCAGTAAGGGCAAATTGAGATGTGTATTAGTATTACCTCATTTCATTTATCATGTCAAACACGACGTTGCAACTACTTTGCGCTGCTGAGCCTGGGAATTTGTTGTAACATGTTGAGAGGCCGAGGAAGAGCAACTGGTGGAGTCAGAAAAGCCGGGAGCCCGCTGATTTAGAGGACACTGTGCGACAAAGACTTAAGACTAATGACAAAACATTGGATGATTTGCCGAGGCTGGCGGCGCAGATGGCCGCTGCAACAGCTCAGCAAGCTGAAGCCAAGGTGGAGGATGATCTTGTGAAGCTGATTGCGTACTTTGAGGAGAAGAAAGCCTTGGCCAACAGACAGGCAAGCCGTGGTTCAGCAAGTCAAGGTCCCCACAATGCAAACTGAGGACCTCTAATAAAAGCCATTCAAGCACTCCAGCCGCAGGGCGGGCTCGATGTGCGGTTTCTCGCTCAGCGGTACCAGAGAGGCACGCAGGAGGTGGAGAAGATCATGCAGGAGAAGCATGAGTACAAATCTTTCCCAAGCGGCCTGCTGGAAGCCCATGCGCATCTTTTGCAACTCATCACGCGCTTGACAAGTACGCCACAGCACGAGGACACCGACCCGTTCCTGGGATGCTTAAGGTGCATGACATTCTGAGGCCCTGCTTGCGGCCTCTTTAAGGCTGACTGTCTGAGGCTCGTCATCCTCATTATTGACGTGACAGCGTGGCCGTTCCACCGCACCTTGCTTTAACTTTGCACCTTACTAATCCGTGAACCAGTTCTAAATTTTTGGTGCTGCCTAGTGGTGACATTAAATTTTCCGAGGCCCAGTTGTGGTGGATGAAGCCGTGGACTTGGCAAAGAACATCAGCAATGGCAACGCCAATGCCGTGTTGTTCAGCCTGCTTCCCATGCAGCACAGCTCCGCGACCCAGATGACCGTTACGAAGTGCAAACGGCAGATCGAGGACAAGGTGATGCAGCTACTTGGGTCATTATTTAAATGTGCCGCATCCCAAGGTCTTAGGGCATCGCATGGTCATGGATTGTGGTCGGACATTGAGTACTTAATCATCATCTACAACTACTACTCAAGCTGCTTTGCTCGAGCAGTGGGTGGTGGCTAGGTCGGCACTGCTCGGCTGAGCGCTGGGAGCGTGGCCACGCCCTTCGGGTCATGGCATGGCGCTCTGAGGCGTCCTCTCCGGGGCTGGTCGGGCAGGGCTTTGATTGACGATCCAGCACCGAGTGGGGGTCAAGGGCGACGGGCATGAGGAGGCAGCTGGGCATCATGGGAGTGCAATTCAATTTGCATTGAAATCAGGGAAGAAAACCGGCGGACCAGAAAAGCTTCCGGACGTGCCGGAGGTTTCTCTGCGTCCGCCGGTTTTCTTGGTTTCAGTCTTCTTGCTGCCGGCGACTGGTACATTTCCTGCTTGGCTTGGAACAGTCTGACTCTGAAGTCGATGACGATATGCCACCCGGCGACTGCTTGCCTGGCCATCCACTCTTTGATTCACGAGCGCAAGAGGTGCCTTTCCATCTGAATGGCACCTTGTGCGCTCGTAAATCACTTTCGGCCTGGGTCTTAGAAGCTCAAGACTTAGACTTGTAACTGTGGTCTCAGATTCAGTTCTTGATGGCCACACACAGAGCGTGTAGCAAGCCAGGCAGGCCGTGTTGCCAACAGGGTCTGCTTGGCTTGCGACGCGGTTGTTATCATCTGGATCTATTGGAGGTTGATTGAGCAAAACAGGTACAGTTACAAGGATCTTCAGGTGCAATACGTTACGATGCATTGCAGGCCCTCTGCAGTTCTTCTTGCCCAACGAGCTGCCTTTTTCTCCAGACCCCCGGAGTTCCAGAAGTCGCAGCACGGCTTTGTCTTGGGCGTGTTTCCAGGCCACAGCAGAAGGACAGGGCATGGCCATGTCACGCCAGAAATTGAAACTCACGTCGCTGGTCGATGCTGTTGTTTTCTGCAGCCCACATGGTGCAGCTCGGAAGGGAGAGATCGAGGCACAATGTCCCTCGATCTCTTTTTTCTTCTGGGCTACACAATGTGCAAGCGGCAGGCCAATCCAATAGATTCTCACACTGAGTGTCACTGGGACTGGCAGCAACAGTGGAACATCGCTGCCGATGGACATTGTTACTGCAACTGTACCAGTCCGCCACTCGCGAAGCCGGACTGGTTAGGAGAAACATCATCATAATATGATGATGCTGCTCCTCACCAGTCCGGCTTCAACGCGACTGTTGCCGAGGGCATCTACACATCAAGAGCGACAGCGAGGACAAGCCTTGCCTCGCTGTCGCTCTTGATTTGTAGACACCACAGACAGATGGCAGCTGCTGCTAGTTAGTCGGCGTTAAGTATTGAAGTCCGGATAGTAGGCCGAGAGGTTCGGAGCCTCGCTCTTAGTCTCGGCCTCAATCCGAGGATTTTGCGCATGTCACAGCCTGCCGCCTCACTGTTTGCTAGCCAGGAAAAAACCACAGATATGGAAAGTAGGCTGAGGGGATCGGAGACTAGGACTGAGTACTGCGAGTACTGCGGCCACCGCGACCACTGACTATCAGCGGTATTACTGGTTACTACTACTACTACTACTACTACTACTACTACTACTACTACTACTACTACTACTACCACTACTACTACTACTACTACTACTACTACTACTACTACTACTACTACTACTACTACTACTACTACTACTAGTATTACTTCTACTACTGCTACTACCACTACTATTATTATTTTTTAATTTTGATTCTCCGAATGTCGTACAATGTGCAGCAACCATCCCGTCATTTGTTATGTTTAGTATCAAGTGTCAAGCTAAGCGCCCATTGTCATCTGTGCCAAGGACAATGGATGTCTATGAAGGGAGCATGGGTTTCAGAGACTCAGGGCACGGGAATGACCGTCGCAGACGATCCCAGAGCTGCCATTGCCCGAGACAGCTTGAAATTTGCTCCTTGCGTGCGAGTCTTATGTTTTTGAAAACTGTGCACTGCGTGCCAAGGTATCCTCAGTGTGAGCACCATTCACCGGAGCTTTGCATTCCAGAGAAGCAAAGCCATGCTCGGATCTCTCGGGCCGGTTTCCCGGGCACGTGTTTGTGACCTCTGGGGGGACGAGGACAACAGGACCACCCCACTCCAAAGAGTGCCTGGCACTGGAGAGAAAACTATGTCAACTATGTATGACAGTCAGCGTCGCCAAGCCATTTAGTGTAAACTTTTCACCAAGCATCATGGCGTGTAAGTTTAAGGTCCAACAACGAGGACTTCGGGGAACGAAGGAGATTTTGACGGGACTGCTGGAGAACATGTCTGCGCCATCAGGGAAGCCAGTCATTGTGGCCGACTTGGTTCCCAACCAGATGCTGGACTTAAAATCATTCAGTGAGTGAGCTTTCATCTACTGCTATTATTATGCATGTTATTGGGTTATGATTGTGATGGGGTGGTTGGTGTGGTGGTGTTTCTGTTCTGAGTCTTTTTCTGGACTAAGTGTGACTCACTGAAGAATTATTATTCAGTCAGTTTGAGTTTTGACACATTGTGGATGCATTTGCTCCAGGTTCAATGAATTTGGACGTGCAATTGCCGAGCTGCAGATTGAGAAGTTCAACAATCCGGGAAGTTGCTACAACTGGCACTTCGTCAGCTACCCTCATCCAGATGATTTGGAATGCAACAGCTTTGCAGCAGCACATTGCTGGTGTCTTCATGAATGTGTGGTCCTCGGTCTTAGTGACAATGAGTTTGACCGACAGATGACGACTCAACCCCTGATCTCGTCTCAGGACTGGTGGGATGCTTCACCTCAAGCTGGCCCTAAATTGCGTCCACAGGCTGACACTGAACGCCTTGTCGTGCCAACCTTGGAAGTCTTGTCGCTGGACACAGACTTCAAGGTGACGACACTTGCCTCATGATAAATTGATGAGTCATCGGTCCCTAGTTTGAGAATAATAATAGAGCTCGTCGCTTCCTCATGGCAGTGAAGGTTGCCGGAAACGGTGAAGTCAGCGCTGGGCACCAGCAAATCCGAGTCTTGGCAGAAGAAGGTGAATGCCCTGAATCTGCAGTCAGCTCCTCTGGGAACCAGTACTCCAGCAGCCGTCTCTGGAGCGGGGGCAGGGCAAGCTGAAGGGAGGACGGGCAACAGGAATGTTGCCAGAACGCTTTGCCGCCCAGAGTTCAGCCCCGGAGCTACCCCCCCGGATCTTCTCCGAACCCTGGTATTGGACATGATGCCAGTTGGCGAGCTCGAGGAAAAGTTACAGCGCCTACACAAACAAGAAGCTACGTTTGATTTTGATTTTTGGTTAGAGCACAGTGACGGGAAGTCTGCAGCCTTCGACACTGCATTGAGGTCCTTCGTCCAGGCTCCCGCATCATCTTGCGACAAGATTGATGTCTTTATCGAGACTGGCACCGAGCCAGGAATTTACCTTGGCAACTCCAGCGAAAGCGAGAGTGTGACGATGCAAGCCGGGGAGTTGTGCGGTTTCAACATTGGAAGCTTCGTGGAGAGAGCACAAGGCGCGGCATGGAGTCTCCCAGTGAGTGAATTTCACTATCCTTGTGTGACCGTGACAGGCCCGCTTGAACATATTCCTGCCTTGCAACAGAACTAAAGTATAGTTAGTAAAGTTTCATGTTTAATGAATAAATCGGAGGCATGGCACGGAACAACAAGGACAAGCGCTTGCCGTTTATGTTGGAGAATGACTGGTCGTTGGTCGTGTTCCTCGACCCCGTCCGTGGTAAGGTGGCCATGTCTGTGGCAGAGCTCGTGTGCCACGCAACCCAAACGCATGGAATCACGGAAGTGAACCTTGTGGACCACAAGCTCCAACAGATGCTCGAGGCTAGACTTGAGTCTCAATGAGTGTTAGAATTCACTGTTGGAGACGTGTTGAATGGCCCGAGTTATGGCAGGACGATGGTGTCTCGCTGAGGATGTTTCGCTACACAGTGGAGGCGAATGCCAAGGTGAATTGCTTCGAGCCCAAGGCTCTGGAGGAGGGTGCCGATGCCAGGTCCTCTCAACTTGGGGCTGCTATGCGTGGTCGCTTCACCAAGTACCCTTTGAGTGGCCCCAACTGTGCCTTGTTGTGGGAGGCACGACGCGGGCTCAAGTTGAAGTTGTTTCATCTCAGACTGACTGACTCATTGTCATTATAAGTCAGTTAATAAGTACTGTGTTGATCATCGGAATATAAATTTATGTGATAGTGACTGAAGTGACAGGTACGGCTGGACCAGGGCGTTCCATGCCAAATCGTGGCCGTGAAACCAAAGCTTTGGCTTCTTGGCGAGTTGAAGCTGGCGCCGCTGACATGCGCAAAGCTTGTGTAGAGCCGGGCAGATTGGACTTGGAGACAATTGTCTCCAGCTTCGGCGGCCGAAGCTTCTTGTGAGCAAGTAGAATTAAAACCGGTAACCATGATCATTACCTGTCTCCCGGAAGAAGTTTACATTGAATTGGCCTCCGGAAGCTCGGTCCGCCTTAGGAATTTTGGCTTGAACTCATGAGACCAGATTATCTGTACGATGCGCTGGGCCACAGCAGGCGATGCTGTCAGCAGCGAGTGTAAGCCCAATTTTAAGGAAAGTAGGCCGAGAGGTTCAGAGCCTCGCTCTTAGTCTCGGCCCAAATCCAAGGAGTTGGCGATGTGGCTAGCAGCCAGCGTAATACCGATTTAAGGAAAGTAGGCCGAGAGGTTCAGAGCCTCGCTCTTAGTCTCGGCCCAAATCCAAGGAGTTGGTAGCAGCGGCGAGTGAGAGCCCGATCCAAGGAAAGTAGGTCGAGAGGTTCGGAGCCTCGCTCCTTGTCTTGGCCAAAATCCTAGGAGTTGGCGCTTTCACGTCCGCCGCTTTTATTATCTTCGTGCGCGAGACTGAACAGACTGGACAGTCGGCCGAGAGGATCAGAGCCTCGCTCTTGTCTTTGCCCAGTCATGTTCTGATTCCGCATGACAGGTCGTCTGAGAGGATCGGAGCCTCGCTCTTGTCTTTGCGATCATGTTGTCATGCGTGACTGTTTTATGCCGCCATCAGACCACAGTCCAGGTGGACGGTTGACAGTCCACTCAAAACTACTACTACTACCCCGAACGGGGTGATATCATTGTCATGCCTTTGGCAGATGTCGATGCTCTGTCAGACTCCGATGGCAAGGCTGCTGACGATGAAGGCGCATCAGCGCTTGAAGAGCCGGCGTCCAAGCCCGAGGAGAAGTCCAAGGCAACGCCCAAGAACACCACCTCCAAGAAGGCGAGGAAGAAAAAACCAGCATCCAAAGTTAAAGGCGAGAAGAAGAAAAAGAAGAAGTCCATGCGGAAATCAGAGCCAGACGCCACAGAGTCAACAGCCTTGACGGCAGCGGGTGATGACGAGGATCAAGATGAAGACGGAAACGAGCCTGACGAGGACTTGGGGTCCCCTGACGAGAAGCCGGAATCGGACGACCTCATCGTGGAGCAGCCGAAGAAGAAGAAGCCGAAGAAGGCGAAGGCAAAGGCCAAAGCAAAAAGCAAATCCCAAGCCAAGGCCAAGGCCAAGGCCAAGGCCAAGGGCAAAGCACAGGCGAAAGTTAAAGCCAAATGTAAGGCAATCATGAGGCGACCCTCGGCATCCTGCGAGAAAGGACCACGCAAGGTCAAGAGGTACACGTACCATGCGGAGCAAAAGGTCGGCATCAAGGTGGATGAGCACGAGTGGGTCACGGCCTGCAACTCAGTCTGAAGGTGATTCCTTCGTTGCACCGTCACCTTGATTAAATTTGAAGCTAACTGCAAGCAAAAGTCGAATCCATAGGTGAAGCTCATCCCGGAGCTTGGACCAGAAATCCAGCGCCAGATCGTTGCCCCGCGATGGTTATTTGGTCTGATTTTGATTTTAATCTTGACCAGATTGAAATTTTTGTCATCTTGACGTAGTAGTAGTAGTAGTAGTAGTAGTAGTAGTAGTAGAAGTAGAAGTAGAAGTAGTAGTAGTAGTAGTAGTAGTAGTAGTAGCAGCAGCAGTATTAGTAGTAGTAGTAGTAGTAGTAGTAGTAGTAGCAGTAGTAGTAGCAGTAGTAGTAGTGGTAGTGGTAGTGGTAGTGGTAGTAGTAGTAGTATAGTAGTAGTAGTAGTAGTAGTAGTAGTAGTAGTAGTAGTAGTAGTAGTAGTAGTAGTAGTAGTAGTAGTAGTAGTAGTAGTAGTAGTAGTAGTTCAACGCCGCCACTCCCCCCTGCTAGCAACGTAAGTCGCCTTTCATGCTGCTCTTTTCTGGGGCTGGTTGGTTTCCAGCGTTCATCATTATCTTTTCGAATCTGTCTCGGTCATCCCAGGAGGCTGCTATGAAGGAGTGCGAGAACTTGACGACCAACAAACAGGACATCAAAACGCTGGTGGTGCACTGCCTTAAGTTTGCATGCCATTCTTACTGTTTTTGCCCAGCGTGGGTCTGAAGTTCATAGCAACTGACCGAACAGAAGCGCCTTAGGTGATTTTGGCAGAAAACGCCTATATACTGCTGTCAGAATGCACATTAAATTATTTTGCTTTTCGCAGGCCTACCAGTAATGATTGCTGCTTTGCATGCCTAACTGTAACTCTAAGGTATTTACATTCAAATTCACCGTCCACTGAATGCCATGACGAACCTGAGGAAGAGATGACCAATGCCAAGCTCAAGGAGATGAAAAAAAAGAAAAAATCCACTGCCGAGCCACCCGCCGCATTGCAAGACAAGGACCTGACGGCCTACGATTATGACCAGTAACACCACACCTTTACTTTGTTGTTAGCTGTGACATGAATCATCCTGTATTGCCCCCACCAGGACGATGCTGATGATGATGACAATGAGAACAACGAGTCTGAGGACGGCGAGGCTTTCCAGGAGGATTCGTTGGTGGAAAAGTGACGGGCCCGGCTCTCCAGATGATGCACTGAGCCACGGCGGGCGATGCTGCTATTTGTAGCAGCAATGAGAGAGTCAGTCAGGTTTAAGGGAAAAATGGCCGAGAGGTTCGGAGCCTCGCTCTAGTCTCGGCCAAAATCCCAGGAGTTGGCGCTTTCAGACTCTGCCGCTTCGCTCTTAGTGCAAGCATGAGAGCACATCTGAGACTGTAAAAGTCTGTGCCGCTGCACTTAATGGATTCGTCATGTCAAGTAATAGTAACTACTACTTGACTGCCAGACAGAAGTGAGAGAGACCTGGGACCGGGGAGGGGGGTTCGAGCCTTGGGCCGGACATTATGGGTGGTGGGCTCCTTTGCTCTCACCTCCGATAGATATAATATCCGCAGCGCGCTCTCTGCTCCGATACTGTATGATAATTTTTTCCGGTACAGTTTAATTCGGTGGCGAGGTGTATTTGATATTATTTCTCCTTGATACTAAGACCATGTAATAATAGAATTAATTAATCAAACTCATGAAAAAGTAGTAGACTGTCGTAACAGTACGAGGCTAATTTTCATAAATTTCATAGACCAGACTTTAATTTTAATTGCGATCAGCCCCAACATAAACGCCCTAATAACCCTTATAATATAAACCCTCGAAGTTTTGGCCTAATGATGTCGAGTTTAAAGTCGTTTGAAACTGACTGACTGTGGAGTTTGGCCCAATGTCGGGAAGAATCAGCCCTTAAAGGCCTGCCCGGAAAGCGTTTAAAATAAGAATTGGCTCAAACTTTGGCTCAACGCGACGACGATTGCGGCTACTATTACTTTGACATTTTTTTGCAATCGGCGCTCCCCTGGTTGATCTTTGGGGGGCGATGCTCCTTTATTATTCAAGCGATCCCCTGGTTGATCTTTGGCGGGCGGCGCGGCGATGCTCCTTTCAAGCTCCCTGAAACAGGATCCCCTGGTTGATCTTTGACCCCCCGAATAGTACGAAAAAGCCTTAATTTTCCCTCATGCCCGATTTAGAGCGTTTCACTGCGTATCTCCGTAGGTCAAACGTAGGCTCAAGCACAGCCGACAGCGGAGCTGGGAAGTGAGAAAAGATTCCCGACTCGTGCCGTGATTATAAAGGAATACTGACTTAAGGGTTTAAACTTTCATGTTGGCTCTCCGGAGTCACGTCCCAGGTGACCTTTTCTCCACCATCTGGGTCGACAAGGCCGTCGGGAAGCCGAGGATGGCGTCCGAATACCCATTCGGTTGGAGAATGTCCACATCGCCGGCGCAGCTCGTTCTTGGCGCTGGAGACAATGCTAGCAGCGAGGTGCACCTCGTCCTGGGTAATAGACAACTCGTGTCGGACCCTGTCCCATATGTTCTTCCACCACGCTCCTTGCCGCTCTGTGATGCCCGCTTGCCAGTGGGCTTGTGCCGCCACGTTCTTTACGGCGATGTTGTGCCACTCTAACAGAATGTTCAATTTTCCCTCATGCCCAATTTAGAGCGTTTCACTGCGTATCTCCGTAGGTCAAACGTAGGCTCAAGCACAGCCGACAGCGGAGCTGGGAAGTGAGAAAAGATTCCCGACTCGTGCCGTGATTATAAAGGAATACTGACTTAAGGGTTTAAACTTTCATGGTAGCGGAGCTGCTGGCAAAGACCAGTAGCTGAACAAGCAAAGATCCAGGGAAGCCAGCCTCGAGCTGGAACGAGGTTAAAAAGTACAAGCAGGAAGTTACGGTTTACCAAGAGCATCCTGCCGGAAAACAGCGAGGAGTTACGGCTAAGCCAAGAGCACCTTGCAAAGTCGGAGAAAAGCGTGAAAGTGGAAGACCTTGAGCCAGTTACAGAAGGACCTGCCAAAGAAGAGAAGAGATGGACCAACAACAGCAAGGCCCACAGGCACAGCAGCAACCGAACCCTCAAGCGGCGAGGTTGGAACAGCTGATGAATACTTTGGGACAAGCTACAGAAGCTATGGCAAGAGTTGCACAAGGAACATCAGTTCAGCAACAGCAGCTGGTTACAGCATTGGAAGCATTGACAAGAGCTCAAGCAGCACCGAAGGCACCGCCACCGAGTCCACCACCGAGTGGACCGCCAGCTTCAGTAAGTTTCGATACTGGAGGTAAGATCCTCAAGCCACCGGAAGCATTCAATCCTGCGACGATTGAAGAAGAAGTGTCACAATGGAGTGACTGGTCATTCACGTTCAAGAACTTCTTAGCGTTTATGGACCAAGAATTCCTGAAGGACCTCAAGTCAGCCGAGGAAGAGAAGG